GTATACACAGAGATCGGATATAGTTACGAGATATAATTATTAGGAAATACTTTACGTTTTTAAAGAATTATCTATGAGATTATAGGATTATATAAAACGTGTATAGAAACAAAAACAAAAAAAAAGAATAATTGACAAATAACATAGGTGTTGTCGTGTTATTAAAATGATAAAATTTGTTAAATAGGTATTAAAAAGAAAAATATAATTGTTGGGAGTTTTGTCGGTCACAACACAACCAATTTCCCCAATGAGACAACTTTCCTTCTTCGCTTAGTGTCTTACTTGTCCAGTTTTATTTCGCTTACTTAGACAGTCGTCGTCTACAGCAACGGAGTATTAAACATCGAACTATCGGCTTAAGAGTTTTCAAAACCATCGACGAAGAAGAATTCTCAAAAGTTGGGTTTTTTTTAATTCCAGTCTTCCTTCCTTTCTTCCTTTCTTCTTGAGTGTTCGATTAATGGATTAAAATCGATTTCGCGATCAATATATATAGATATATATATATCGTTTCGTTTAAATGTGGAACCGGTTTTCTATCGGGGAACGTTGACGAAGACAGCAAACAAAGTTTTGAAAGTGTGTCTCTTGCTGCTTATAACGTTCAGTGCAGTGTCACGATTTTTTTTTTTCTTCTTCCTCTTCTTTTTCTTTTTCTTTTGGTACGCTTTACCTTTCTTAAAGTAACGGAGACGGTATCAAGGAAAAAGAAAGAGAGAGAGAGAGGACAAATATAACGGTTCTGTTCTATTTAGGTGTATAACTTGAGTATCACTGTGAAAGTGAAAAAGAATCATCAAGCTTTTATCGAAGAGAAGCTTTACTTTCAAAAGAGAGGAATTACAAAAGAAAATATTGTTTATGAATATCTATTAAAATTTGTTCAACGATAATCGTTACTTCATTCGATCTATTACGGTGTCGCGATACTTTTTTTTGAGAATTACTGCAACATTATAAGAAAAAAAATAAGAAGAGTTTTTCATTATTAAAAATATACAATTATTTTGTTGTATACGAGATGGAAACTATCAATTATCGATCTCACATACAAAATTCAACATTAGAATATTGATTAAAAAAAATGTTGCATATTATTTGAAATGAACCTTTAATTGACTAACTAAACGAGTTAGAAGAATTAACAGAAATCGTATATAATAAATCAGAGTGTTCATAAATAATTTCTTCTTATAAGAGGAGATAATATTGTCTGAGGGTAAGTAGATAAATAAGTAAAAATAAATGAGGGAAAAAAAGAGTAAAAGAGAAAAGAGAGATGGTCGAGTTCCGGGTTAACGAACCGTTCGATTATTCTTAAAGGAACGTTGAAAAAAAGAAAAGGAAGACTCGGTTAAGTTCTCTCAAAATTTCTTGGACTTTAATATGATATCCTTTTTATAAAATTATTTAATATTGTGTGGTCCACACACATATGTGTGATACCTTACGTGTTCCCTTACATAAGTCACGAGAGGATCCTGTTCTCGTTTTCACTCTTTACTTACGTGTTCGAAAGATCACGAAAGAATGAGAGGACTCTACCTACTCATTCTTCTGTTGTACTCTCTCTTTCATTTGGAAAGTTATATGAACATTCTTAAACGTTTTTAAGAGATGCCTCTAGTATTTGATTATCGTGACGCTACGTGGCACCACTTTATTACAAGAGTTTTTGAAACAAAACTAAATTTTATGTCTGACCATATCGTAATTCTTAACTACTTTTTTGTCCTATGCAAATATCATTGGATATATACACATTTTAATCACGTTAATGAAGACACAAATCTTGGAATATTGATAACCTTTCAATGACTCGAGAGAGAGAGAGAGAGAGAGAGAGAGAGAGGAAGAAATAAATAAAAAAAAAAAACAAACTTTAAAATTTTACTCAATACGTAAAAAGTGAAGGGATACTGCTTACCGATTGAAATTAATCCCATTAACGAAATACTCAAATTGTTGCACAATTAACATTGGCCTAGATTTAAAAAAAAAAAATAAAAAAAAAAAGTAACTTTCAAAGTAGTCAGTTCTCTTTTTCTCTGTCTCTCTGTCGTTCACGTTGTTGATCATAAAATAAGCTTATATATATATTTTAAATCGTACTATCAATTTTTATATATCTTCCAATTAAATTTAAATAATGTTATTTCGTAATATGTGATTTTAATAGGAAAGTTTATCAACTGGTGTCACGTATGTTCTTGTTTCTTGACAATCCAGTAAATTGTTGTCAACCATGAAATGTCGAGAAACAAATCCCTCACTGTCACCATCAAACTTTCATTTAAATATTAATTTCAAAATTTCGAATGGATTAGATATTAGTAAAGGTTACTCGAAACGAGAAAAAACAAAATACATATATATATATATATATATGTGTGTATATAAAAAGAGAGGGAAAAAAATATCGAACAAGTTCGTTGACTCACGTATAATCATTTGTATGAACGATTTACGAACAGGTGTGTTCGTTCCCAAACACATATTTTTACTTACGTAATAATGGCCGATACATCAGCAAGAAAAAGATGAGCAGTTAAATAATGCGTGCACGTAGAACCCCATACATGTAACTAGTTAAATCGATAGAGTATCATTTGAAAGTAACATAAACGAATACAATACTATATACAATCGTTTTCAACTGAATGTATTATGAAAAACCAATAAAACTCGTTTCGATGTCCTTGATATTTTCTATCGTACATTTTCGTGCACCGAATCGAAAAAACGTATGCTTGAAAATTTCTTACGTTATATTCAAAGTTAGCTGTGTGCATTTAAACAAGATAGATAATAACAAATATTTTTCATAATTATTATAAACGATAATTCGTAATTTTTTTTATCGGATTTAAGACCAGTGTTGTTATCGATCAAATTCTATGGAAATTTTTGATTAAATACATTATCGACAATTTTCTAATTGTGTGTTAAATGGTATTAAAAATCAAGATTATGGTCAAGGTTGAAAGAAAGGAAAATGCATCGAATCAATGTCGGTGAAACAGTATTAATTAGCATGGAGGATTAACGTATTACGGTGCATAATCGTAATTAGTGTTAGAGAAAAGCTATTATGATTGGAAATCGTTAATTTAACGAAAGGATTACGTAAAAATGTTATAAACCATTTCGATTTACTTTCTCTACCGATATGTATTTTAATTAAAAGAAAAATAATCAAATTATATTCGTTGTTTACTTTTCTATTTGCGATCGATTGAAATACAAAGATTGTTATATATAATAAAAAAATGTCAGAAAGACAAAATGATAGCCTTAAAAAACGAAACGTTTATAACAAAGTATATGAACAAAAAAATAATGAATAAATGAATAATGTATTATAATTTAAAAAAAAAAAAAAAGAAAAAATAACATAACACAAAAGCAGTCCCGCGTTTCATAATCGAAGTGTTACCTTTTGCGTGGAATACGTAATACCTGTTTTATCCGTGAAAGTAGAAATTAAATATATGTATATAAAAAAAAAAGAAAAAAAGAAAAAACTAGAAACTATATTGATCATCTCAAGGTAATCATCAATACCTCCGGGTAATTAATTTAAAAATGTTTCTCTTATATACCCTACGGGGTAATATAATAATATATGTCATTCAAAATTCACTTTGATATATATATATAAAAAAAAAAAAAATCATCTCTTAACTACTCAATTAATTTCAAACTAATATTTTCGACCGATACGAAAATTACGAAAAACAAAAAAACCAAAAATAACGCAACAAGATCGTATTATATCGAAATAAAATTTGTGATTTAAAAGTTTATTCGATAAATCGAATGCATATATAAAAAAACAACGATGATATTTAACGTGAAATAATTTCATTAGAATCCAAATATATTCGCAATAGTTCGTTCATATCATAGGTGGTGGTGGGTGGTGGTGGTGGTGGTGGGATTTTATAAAATGAAATAAGAAAGAAGGGTGGGAGTGGGCGGGTGGGGCGGGGGTTCGGATCGAGTGGGAGGGGTTGTTATAAAGTAAATATAGATAGAAAATAAAAAAATGTTAAATATATCCATGTGAGTTTGTAAGAGGCAAATCGAAAGTCTCCCACCACTGATAGCATATAGCGTGGCTCGCAATTCTCGATTCTCGATTCTTGAAGGGGCACACATGCTCGCGTTCGTTCCCTCGAGTTTGTAAGACATCGGAACCTCCTTCACCGTGGTCCTCAAACGAGCCTCGTACTCCGTCAGGTACACATCTCCTCGCTCACCTGCATATACAACTTACTGTGTCTACTGTAAGTTAACGTTTCATCTATTACAATTCATTAAATCTTTTTGTTTTTTCTTGTTGTTGTTGTTTTATTATTATCTGACAATCGTATCATATGCCTGCAGGTACACGAACATACACACACATGCACTTATGTGTTTATCTTTCATTTGATTTTTATTATGTGTTGGATTACTTTATTTGTGAATTGAATTGTTTTATATATATATTTTTTTTTGTTCCTTCGTAATTAATTTTCCACATTATTTAATATATGTTTAGATTTTTCGAATGTATTTAAAATGATAAATTATTACCTATTAGATCCGATCGTATTAATTTAAATGTAATTTTTTTTTTGTGTATAATACGATATGACAGAAGATATACACATGAGAGATACAAAAGATTATAATTAAGATTAGAAAAAGATCTAATGGGAGATAGATGTAATCGATTATACTTTTACTTTCTTTCAACCTTTCACCAAACTTTATTTCTTTTTTTTTTTTCCTTTTTTACACGTATCATCGTTGTTCGTTCGCCCTTAATTTAATCTTTCTCTTTTTAATGATATTATAATCGAATCACATTTGTTTGTTTTTTTTTTCTGTTGTTGTTTTTATTGTCTAGACACACACAGGTTTCATTTCTAACGAGAATATAATAATAATACTAATAATAATAATAAAAAAGCAAAGAAAAAGGGAGCGAAACAATACTCGAGGAAAAAATGAAGTTCACGTGGACGTTGTGCAGTTTGTTGCTGATCATCGTATTCGTTGATTCCAATCCAATAATAAAAAGAGAAGCCGATAACGAAATCAACCCTTTGAACGAAGTAAGTTGAACTTTTGATTGTAATTATTATTATTATTATCATCGATCAATCGATGATGATCGGGATTAATTTTAAATAATGAATTTGAACAAAAAAAGGAAAGCGGGCTAACCACGAACGACCTTGACTACTATACATTTTAGAAAGCTTTACCCGAAATGGTTGTCGTTGTCCTTCTCTTCCATCATGGTTACTTTTGAAACATTTCAATAATGCACGAACAGAAAGAGAGAGAGAGAGAGATTACGTTACGATTAGTTCAACAACTTTACTTACTTATTTACTGTCATCGCGATTATTTTTTTCTTTCTTTCATTCTTTCCATTATTTTTTATTTTTTTTTTCTTCTTCTTCTTCTTCTTCTTCCATTGCGCCATTTCGCTCACTTATGAATAACAACCTCGATTTGCGGTAGACGACAGGACGTATTGCTTAATGAGAGAAAACGATGTTTATTATAGACACGTAGAAAAAGAAATATTTTTTATGACAGTTTACATCTTTAATACGATGTTGGCAATCAACAAAATTTAGATCATTTATTCAACGTACGTTTAACTTAATTAAACTATTTATTATTATATTTATCAAATTGATTTATCTCTCTCTATCTCATTCTTCTAT